AGGGCTCCATCCCACTTGTTACTAAAGAATATGTTTACTGAGCCCTTTTTGGCTCTCTTTTTTATGTAGTTTTGGACTCAACCAAGCCAAAATCTAGATTTAATTGAAAACTGTGTGGAAACTGTGTTGATGCCACATGTAATCTCCAGACCTTGTACAAGGAGTCAAGCACCTTATTCTTTCGGAGACAGTTTTGATAAACATTTAAGGCTTGTTTCACCATAGCTTTTTCCTTGGCTTATACTTTTGAGGTCCCCTGTGACATCACATTATTGAAGCTTCATTCTTTTATTTTTATTATTGAAATATAATTAATTTACAATGTGATATTAATTTCTGTTGTACCAAAGTGATTCAGTTATACATATATTTTCTTTTTTTAATACTCTTTTCCATTGTGGCTTATCATAGGATATCGAATATAGTTTTCTGTCCTATACAATAGGACCTTGTTGCTGTCCATCCTGTGTATAAAAGCTTACATCTGCTAACCCCAGCCTTTCCCCTTTGCAACCACCCATCTGTTCTCTGCATCCATGATTCTGTTCCTGCTTCATAGATGGAATCATTTGTTCATATTTTAGATTTCACATATAAGGGATATCATGTGGTATATATTTGTCTTGCTCTTTCTGACTTACCTCTCTTAATATGATAATCTGTAGTTGCATCCGTGTTGCTACAAATGGCATTGTTTTGTTCTTTTTTATGACTGAGTAGTATTCCATTGTGTATATATACCACATCTTCTTTATTCCTTCATCTGTCAGTAGACATTTAGATTGTTTCCATATCTTTTTTTTGTGTGTGTGTAATAAAGTTTTATTAAAGTATAAAGAAGATAGAGAACGCTTCTGACATAGGCATCAGGAGGGGGCAAAAGAGTACCCCCTTGCTAGTATTAGCAATGGAGTTATATACTCTCCAGTGAATCTAAAGAATGTCTGGAGGCTGCAAAGACCTCACCAGACCCACTCCCATAATTTACATTTTAAGAGAACAGAGTTGGCCAGAAGGTTTAATCCAAAGACTGTCCTCAGGCAGGATACATCCCTGTAAAGACCAGACCTACTCCCATAATTTACATTTTAAGATAACAGGATTAGCCAGAGGGTTTAATCCAAAGACTGTCCTCAGGCAGGATACATTATTGTTATATAATCCTAAGGAATGTAGAGGAAAAAAAAGTTAAAAAGTTTGTCCTTTCTTCCTCCTTGAATATCCCAGAGCTCTCTCTCCTTGGGGACCCCTAGACTTCTTATCAACCTGCCTAGGAACTGACTCTCTCATTTCCCCCTTTTCTTTTAGGAGATATGTTGCCTAGGGAAAAGGGGCGTCGTTCTCATTCCATAACTGCTTCCGAGCTGACAAGGGGCGTTGTCCCTGAATTGGTGAGGCAACATATTCTCCTAATCCTCATACTGAGGATGTCTGATCCAGGGGCCCCAAGTAATAGCTGGAGGAGGCTGTGGCACTCATAGGAGCTCAGACAACTATTTGTAAAGTAAAAGCTTTTAGACGGTTAGAAAACCCCATTATACAGTGATAGATGTAAGGCAAAATAGTCATTAAACCAAGTTAAAATCAAAATGAAAAGTCACATTATGGCCATGGTTACATCAGTCCATCTTAAGGTTGTTAGATGTCATCAGTTTAAGAAGAGGCATCACATGCGATTGTTGAAAGTATTTGCAGACTTGGAGAAAGTCTTTTCTTTGAAGGGGATTTGTCCTCCATGGGACGCCTTTCACGGATGAAGAAGGGAGTGGTCCACAGACCCAGCAGTTAGACTGTGGAATGCAGCATAGGAGTGAGCCCAGGACAGGAAGGCATTGTCTTGAGGATCAAACGGCAGACTCAGGATTTCTGGAATCAGCAGAAGCAGGCTCATATAGATTGTTAGGCCCATCTGAAACCTTGTCTTGAAGGATCCCGGACGAGCCCCCAAGATGAAAGGTTGTTGCTGAACGATTAGACGCGGGATTCTTGGCCTCCGGAGGAGACGAATTCAATCCGGGGCCAGAGGCGAGGCTGGATCGCTCAGAGCTTTTGTGTAATAAAGTTTTATTAAAGTATAAAGAAGATAGAGAAAGCTTCTGACATAGGCATCAGAAGGGTCCATATCTTGACTGTTGTGAATAGTGCTGCTGTGAACATAGGGGTGCATGTGTCTTTTTGAATTAATAGTTTTGTCTGGGTATAAACCAGGAGTGGGATTCCTGGATCATACGGTGATGCTTTATTTAGTTTTCTGAGGGTTCATTCCTTCTAGCCCATTTCCATTGGTGCAATCCTACTTCTAGTACAGAGGTGGAGGTATTTTTCTTTTTTTTGTTTTATTTGGAGGATAATTGCTTTACGGTGCTGTGTTGGTTTGTGCCATTAGGAATTAGCCATAAGTGTGCATATATCCCTTCCCACTTGAGTCTCCCTCCCACTCCCCATCCCATCCCCACCCTCTAGTTTGTCAAGAAAGTACCTGGTTAAGTGCCCTGTGCAATCCAGCGGCTTCCCGTTAGCTGACTGTTTTACTGTCCCAATTTGTCCCACCCTTTTCTACCCTCTGCTGTGTCCACAAGGATATTCTGTTAGCACAAGGACATGTGCTATTCTCTATGTCTGTGTGTCTATTCCTGCTCTACTAATAGGTTCATCAGTACCACTTTTCTAGATTTCATATATATGTGTTAATATATTTGTTCTCTTTCTGACTTATTCACTCTGTGTCACAGGCTCTGTGTTCATCCACCTCACTAGAACTTGTGGAGAAAATATCCTCACCACTGAGAACTAAGCACTGTTAATATTTGTACATTTTTGTTTCCAGTTTTCTATGTGCACACTTAAAAAAAAAAGAGCAAATAATATGTAAGCACATTATCTCTTTTTAGTATATGTGCTGCCAAAGCAAGCACCATCTCTTTTTTAAAGGAGTACAGTTCTGTAAATTAAATTCATCGTTAATCACTATTCCCCATTCTGTTCCCCATTCCCACCATGACCTTGACCCTGCACCCTCTAAAATAATACTCTTGTAAATGTGGTATATGCTGGTCCAGTACAGTTTTCTCTTGTTGTTACCGTAGAGAATAAGCAGTGTTGCTTTGTTTTTATTTATCTGAATGGTGTCATGATGCATATATATATCATCCTGCAGTTTTTTTGTTTCCCCTCAGCCTTGGCTCTATACTAATTGATACATACTGACCTAGTTCACTACCTCAGCTGCATAGGACTCCCAGTACAAGGATGTGCAACATCTCTCCAGTCCCTTGGTGATGGGGTTGAACTTAGTTCTTGGTTTTTATAAACACTACAGCAACAGGTATCCCCACAGATCTTGTTGTACACATGTATTAGTAATTTTCTAAGGTTAGGTAGAATTTCTATCCTGCCTTCTCTTCTCTTAACATTAAGGCATGAATGTTTCCATTGGTTTACTACAATCTCCTTATAAACACAGACCTTGTGAATTATACTTTGAGACATCTTTAATGAAAAATTAATATGACATAGTAATTAGACACAAATCCTTTTGCATCAGAGTAATTTAAAGATTGCATGGACTTTCTTAATAGTAAGTAGATAAAGCATTAAGCTTTAACACCAAAGATTAAAGAACAAAAATCAGAAGCATGATTAGTACTTGGAGTGGCTTGAGCAACTAAGGTTTGGAATGCCTGGGACTTCATATAGTCTAATCTCCATTTTCTAAGTCTAGAGAAATTTCTTAGATTTTTGGAGCTGACCTCTGTCACTCCTCATCCTTGAGAATCCTCCTTTGGTGCCACGTGTCTGCCTCTTTCCTGAAATCTCCCTCTCCTCATGCATGCTTCCCTGTCACCTCTTTATGCATCTTGCAATTATTCTTCATGTCTCCTGTCCCATTGCTCCTGTCTCGTGACCTCCTCAAGAATAGTGTACTGTCTTTGTTTGGTTTTGTACCCTAAATAAGCACAGTGCCTGATACACAGATGTTGAACAAATATATTTTGAATGAATGAAAGAGGTGAATGTGGAGGTATGGGGGTGAGAGGGAGGGTGGGATTGGAACATGGCGATGCTCACCTTAATAAAACAATTTATTGAAACTAGGGAACTGAATAAGGAAGTCTTAAAAGGAAGTTAGGCGGTAAAGATGACAAAATGACAGCTTTGACAGTGGATCTCTGCTTTAGAGGACTGTCATTTGCTTGTATACAAACTGATTAAATCACTGGTTTTGTGTTAGGAAATAATTTCTTTTCAAAGTTAAATACCAATACATTTGTTTAAAAGTCTGTACCTGCTTGTTTTTCTAGGAATAAATCAAAAAACTTGAATCCCCGATAGATAGAACCATCTTACAGAATTTTTTTAAACACCTTGCTCAATTTCTTGGTTGCCCCAATTTTAATCAAAACTGGGTTTCCTGGAATGAGTAGACTAAAGTTAAAGGAAATATTTTGGTCACTGTTCTTATGAAATCCTTTGTGGTTTGGAAGCAGTACTCCTTCAGTGTTTCAACAGCTTCATTCATGTTCCGCACACAGTGTAGCACAATGATGCCAGTAACTGAGCTTCAGAAGGAGAAGTTCAAATGCAGAACCTCCACATTTAGAAATTGAACAATAAAACTTTGGAGGAGGGAAGTCAGAGTAGCTTTCTTAACTTTTATCATAGCACTAGTTATAAACCATTTAATACTATAAATTTTCTTGGCAAGTACAATCATAACTCAAAGTAATTCTTTTAATGATTATTAGATGCTTCATTAGATTATTCTAATAATCTAATGATTATTAGAAGCTTCATTGCTCTCAAAGTTTGCCCATTTGATTAATAGAACGCTGATATAGTTTAAGTAATTGACACTGTCAGGAGAATATCGTCTAATCAGTAACCCAAGATCTAAGATTGAAAGTAATGAGTTATCCTGATACTAAGATTATTTCCAATACTGAAATACTTTCATTGTTCTCTGGATACTTTTTGCTGCTAATTAACATCTCTCTCTACAGGATTCATGAATAAAATTTTCCATCCCAACATTGATGAAGCGTAAGTAACTATTTTTAAATGTTTAAATCTTAGCAGCAACTCTCTTGATTACAGTTTATGTATTATTAAAAAAAAAGTCTCAATTATCTTTTTGGATTTTATCAACAGATAGGACTGTAAAAAGGTCACTGACACTAAAGAATCCAAGAATATGATATTCTAAACCACTTAGTTCAAAGTCTACTATTGGACTACTTGGTTTTTTCCATTGTCACGAACAAGTCCTTCATTTCCTTTGGTATCCAGCTAACATTTGTACTATTCCACATCTCCATCTCTTTGTATAGACACAGTTCAGAGAGAGGTCTTCAGTGTACAGAGTGTATTATTTTCAGCCCCTAAAATTTCTCAGTTCTTGAGAGTAAAGGAAACAATTAATGAATCACAATTACCCCTTTCTTTCCAATATATTCTTAGTGGTATTTTAAAATGTGCTAAAGTGCCTCCTATTTTGTACTCCAGGGCAATTTAGAATACTATTTGTCCCACAGTTTTTCCTTCTCATAGCATTAAATTTTGATATTACGTATATACACACATGTGTGTACATATGAAGTATTCTGAACTCTGAGAGGTTGTATGTATATATGTGTGTGTGTGTGTATATCATGCCACATTATCTTTTAAAACTGTCAGTCATCCTAATAAGGATGATCTCTTATGTAACTGCAATATAGTCATAGGATTCAGGAATATGAATATTAATGCAGTACTTTTCCATCTACTGCCATTTTCTGGTAATGTACTTTTTAGCACTTTTTTCATTCATTAAAGGATCCAGTTTAGTATCATCTACTGCATTTAGTTGTCATGTTTCTTTTCTTTAAAGTAGTTCCATCTGAAACCGTTCCTCAGATTTGTACAGAATGGACATTTTGGAAGAATAAAGACCAGTTACTTCATAGACTATCCCTCAATTTGGGATTGTCTGATTTTCCCTTATCATTAGGTTCAGAGTATGCTCTTAAGACCAGAAACCAAAAGGTGAGATTGTGTCCTCCCCAGGGTATTCCATTTGGAGGCACACAGGTCTGTCTGCCCTGATTACAGAGTTAATTCTCATCACCCAGTTAGGGTATTGTCTGGGTTCTCCATCGTATAGTTACTGGTTTTCCCTTTCAGTCTGCAAAGAGACACTTAAGACTTTGTGTATATTCTGCTCCTCATTGTGTTTTTACCAGTTGGGATTCTTTGGGGTCTTGTCTTTTTTTTTTTTTTCTCAATGATCTATTAAAAATATTTCTGATGATAAAATTAGTTGCCTGATACATGCAACTAACTTTCTGATTTTTTTTTTCTTTTAATGCCATTCTTTCCATCTGTTCCAGGTCAGGAACTGTGTGTCTAGATGTAATTAATCAAACTTGGACAGCTCTCTATGGTGAGTTTGGCCATGGAATATTTTTTAGAGATATTGAGACACTGCCTAAAAAAATGTTGTTTGGATTTTCTTCTCTGGTTTAAGATGTTTTGTTGGGAATGTGAAGGGAATTTGAAGGCCTGGTGGGAAAGTTTAATCAGTGAAAAAACACATTTTCTCATGAGTACAGACTTTGGTTTAGTGGTGAAAGTTTGAAATAATCTTTAAGATTCTGAAATGAAGGTATACTGATACACATATGCAAACACACAAACAAACATATATGTGTTATTCTGAAGCACATTGTATACATGTTTATCTGTAATGCCTTTTAGTTTTGGAAAAACTCTTAGGAATGTCCCTTTGAAATGAAATGTAATTAGGAGGTTTGGGAGATCATCTGTTTCAAAAATCAAAACTTTGTTATGAAGCAAAGAATCATTTAGCCTTACCTTCATTGCTGAAACTGACATCTCTTACAGTGAATCTACACATAGATTGAGGTCACAGAGAGAGAGAATCAGGTCTTATTTCCTTGAGCTTGTAACTTGGTTGGGGAGCTAAAAATATTTTAAAATATATTTAAAGTTAATTAGGGATACAACAAATCAGTCTGTGTGTTCTCCCCACATGTCCAAGTTCTCAGGCTTCCCAGAGTCTCCCTGTTCTCATGCCCCCACTTCATTAGAATCCCCTGATGCTCCAGCTGGAAATAATCTCTGGACATGGCTCAATTTTACAGCTCTTTTTTTTGTGGGGGTAGGGGTGGCTTTTGCTTTCTACTTAGTGTTTGTTGTCTGTCCCTACATTGTCTGTGATACTGGATTATTTGCTGCCCTAAGGGCTGGCAGGGCACCCGTCTGATTGGTCTTTTAAGTCCTGGCATGCCTAGCATGGTGCCTCGCACCAGTGTGTTTGTAAGAATGAATGGTCCAGACAGCAAACACTTGCTGAGAGGTGCAGAGAGGGAAAGATCACATCAGGCAGGGGTTAAGCAGAGACGGCTGCCTTTTGTCATGAGACCTTCTGGTGGTCTGAAGGTTCACAAGACCCCCTTATTCCAGCCTCCATCTGCGAGTCACCTTGCACTGACCTGGTGATAAGAGCCACAGAGGTTGGTCAGCAGCAGCGCAGTTAATCCTTCTCTCTCCCTCCTCCCGATTCTTTCAGAAATAACTTCCTCTGCCTGGAGTTGTCCTCCCTGATGTCTGTGTGGTTGGCACCTTCTTTTCTCATCTCAAACATGCTTCTTTAGAGAAGCCTCCTTTCCTGGCCACTTCATCTAAAATAACGTCCATCCACAGTGCTGCACCCTCTATTTTAAAAACCTTAAAATTTGTTTATTGTTCATCTTGTTCTATCAGATTGTAGGCTCCACAGGACCAGAGACTGTGTCTCGTGTGTGTACATAGGTACAAGTGCCAAAAGCAGTACCTCGTGTACAGTGAGGGCTCAATATTTGTTGAATTTTAATAAGTGACTTAACCATGCCCAGTACTGTTTAACATGAGAGTTTAGGGAAACGGCAGCTTATAAGGAGATGAGGCAACAGGAAAGAACATATACTCTGAGGTTTATTAAATGAATTCCTTTCAAGATGGTTTTTTTTGGTAAAAATGTCTCGTGGCAGGCTGCCTGGAATATCTGATGTAATGATGTGTTGTCTTAAACTGCAGTCACATTTTAGAAATGTACATAACTAAATAATGCAAGCTGGTTCCAATTACAATAAAGTAAATTGGACTTCAGTTTGACTAATTCTTTTACTATTGACCAGAGGAGCTTTGTGGGAGAGGTTCGCTGATTCTCAAGCATCTCACATCTCAGAACAGATTTTTTTAAATGACTGTTTTATTGAACTTTAACTCACATACATAAAATACACACATTTAAAGTGTATAATTTGATAGTTTTTAGTATATTCACAATTATTCACTACACCATTGCCACATTTTTATCATAGACTATTTCTGTCACTTCAAAAGGCAATCCTGTACCCTTTAGTTATCACCCATTCATCTCCCAGCCCCTCCCGCAGCCCTAGGCAACAGCTAACCTACTTGTTGTCTGTATAGATTTGCCTGTTCTGGACATTTCTTATAAACGGAATTGTATTAATATAATATGTAATGTTTTGAGACTGGCTTTTTCACTTCTTACAGTGTTTTCAGGATTCATCTATGTTGTAGCATGTATCAGTATTCATTCCTTTTTATGGCCAGGTGATGCTCTGTAGCACAGATGCCATTTTTATTTGTCAGATGACGGGTATTTTAGCTGTTTCCGCCCTTTGGCTGCTATGAATAGCGCCTCTATAAACACTTGTCCACACACAGTCTAAGTGGGCATGTTTTCCTCCCTCTTGGGTATGCACCTAGGGTGATATGCTAATTTTGTTTAGCCATTCGAGGACCTGCTTTCCAAAATAGTGCCATGTTACATTCCCACCAACAGTCACAATATATGAGGTCGATAATAAACTTTCAAGCATAAGGCCAAGATGACTAAGGTTTCATCACACCTATAAAAATTTTAGAATATGTTCTTGTATTACCTTGCAAAGCACTTAGTAACAAGAATTAAATCACATTGATCAAAGTGAATTTTGATTTCCCAGTTACATGTGTATGAGCTACTTTTGAGTGTTCCATAATACAAGAACATGAGCACACAGGTAAGTGCAGGAAACCAGGAAGCAAATGTTTTTAGAGTGCAGTCAAGATTATACTCATCATGGGAGCATTGTTTTGACATTTTTCTCAAATCCAAACTATTCCTCAAGAAAACTCAGCATTTCCTCTATGAAAAGTCTTATTAGGAGCAGGTTAACTGCAATTTATATATTTAATAAAAGTACTGGTAGAAAGGATTGGTTCAGGTGACCTTGAAGTTTCTTTTAGGCTTATCTGATCTTGAGATCTAAACTGAATTTTTATTAGAAACTGCTAAACCCTCTGGCATTGAAGGTTAGTTCATAATCGGTAAATTTTGAATCACTCAGTTTCCTGCTGTGATTCTTGAATTATAGTTCAAAGGACAAAAAAATCTAATCTAATACGAAATAATTAATAGGAGAAAGTTGGCAAGTTAATGTGTATATTCAACTGAAAAGCAAGAGGCTTAGCTTGGTAACCAAAACTTGTCTAAGCACCTCTACTATATAATATGGTAAGGAGCAGGGAGGTACTGGTGAAATTTCCTGCAATTAACTTTGCCCCGGGTATGTACTGTGCAGTATGTATACATATGTTTATTGTAATGGCAATTCCTAGTTGAAATTTCAGATTTATACTCATCATTACCTGATAATAAACAGTATTAGTGTTTGTAGCAAATTTAGCCCTTTATTCCTCTACCACCGTCACTACCACCCGCAACCCTGTAAAAGAAAATTGATATCTGGCAGCCCATTGACTCATCGCCTCTGTTCTCCTCCTGCTTTTCCTTTACCCAGTGTGCATGCGGTTTGTTCATTCAGAAGCTCAAAATCGGTATAGCTGTAGCTGACTCACCCAGTAATTTTAAATTTTATGTTTTACTTTACCAGAGAATGAATTATAGTAGGTAATATGGTTAATTTTGTAAAGATGCTGCTTGTCATCAATATGAAGTTATCCATTGGGTTTGGAGTTACTCTTGTCACTCTTTGCAACATCAAAAGGAAAGTGGCAGATGCCATCACAAGATTGATTCATTTTGGCTTCCTGTATGATAGCATCTTTTTTTTACATCCCTTTCTGCTCTTCCAGGCAGCAGTGATAAAAGCTTGGAAAACTTAGAATTCAGCCAAGGGAATCTGGATTTCAGTTTCAAAAACAACTGTAATTTTAAAGACTGGTGAAAGGAAAGTTCATTAAACCATAGGTAGCTTTCTTAGCTCCTCTTCTGTTTTTTTCCAGTCTTCCTTTTTACTCCAAAATATATTTTATCCATCAGTGTATTTTCAACCCACACTCCTGGAAGGTCAGGTACCTTCACTGCATTATACAACTTCAGTTTCCCTCTCACTCTCCTGGGCTGTGCATACCTGACCCTTGCAAATTATGTTTCAGTCTCTAGCCTTCCTTTTACTCATTTCTCGACTGACTTGATAAATTACTTATTTGTGAAGTAAGTGTGAACAAGTAATGTGGAAGAGAATTTTCTTATAAAATTGGGCAGTTAATTTTATTTTCACCCTTAAGGTTGCTAGCCAATGGACTGGGTACTCCTCTTATTTTGCTGGTGAGAAAAATCAACATTTGGGAAATTACTTCACCTGGAGTCATTTGGAGAGTCAGTAACAGACAAATGAAGTTGACTACAATGAAAGGAGTACTTCAGGGACTTTGAGATTAGAATTAGGCAGAAGAAACAATGCTTCTTTTACTAGGCATTTAGAAAAAAAATTTTTTTTTCATTTATTTTTATTAGTTGGAGGCTAATTACTTTACATCATTGCAGTGGCTTTTGTCATACATTGAAATGAATTAGCCATGGATTTACATGTATTCCCCATCCCGGTCCCCCCTCCCACCTCCCTCTCCACCCGATCCCTCTGGGTCTTCCCAGTGCACCAGGCCCGAGCACTTGTCTCATGCACCCAACCTGGGCTGGTGATCTGTTTCACCCTAGATAATATACGTGTTTCGATGCTGTTCTCTTGAAACATCCCACCCTTGCCTTCTCCCAGAGTCCACAAGTCTGTTCTGTACATCGGAGTCTCTTTTTCTGTTTTGCATATAGGGTTATCGTTACCATCTTTCTAAATTCCATATATATGTGTTAGTATACTAGAAAAATTTTAAGTCATAAATTTGCTTAATAGTACTATGCTATAACTTAATGACTTTAAGCTGCTAAGTGAATTTAAGCCTTTCCATATTGGACGTACATTGTTATTACACCCCTGTTTTCAATCAGGTAGTCTGTGAATCTTTCCAAACAATTCGGATTGTACCTGAGGGTAACTTTATCTTACAATAATGCTTTAGGCTGCTTTAGAGTTTTGCTCGGTATGTTTCTAGACATTTTAGTGTAGT